TACATGTATGTACGGACCACCATCTCCAAAATGGGCGGTCTTATCCGTCTCGTATACACATACGGGCCCGTGGAAGTTTTTAGTGGGCAAGTCGCTAACTCGGGGGCCAGAAAAGGCAGAAGACTGAAATTTTAAGGGGATGTTTCCCGTCCAAGTACGCCTTAATGAGTTCAAATCCAGTCTCTTGGTACCCACGTTTGGGTCCGTGAAAGCTCGAGAATTCGAAAAGGTGGAAAACTGAAATTTTAAGAATATATTCCCTGTCCACGTAAGTCTCAATGAGTCAAACCCAGATATCAGGTATGCATGGTTCCCAAGTACGAGTCAGTGGAAGTTTTTTTCGGGTAAGTTGCTAACCCGGGGACCTGTGAAGCTAGAGAACTGGAATTTTAAGGGAATGTTCCCCGTCCAAATAAATATTAATGAGTTCAAACCCAGCCCTCGGTATGCTTGGTATCCACGTACGGGCCCGTCAAAGTTTTTTCGAGTCAGTTGATAACTCGGAAATCGAGGAGCTAGAAGACTGGAATTTTAAGGGGATTTTGAAGAGATGTTTCCTGACAGAGAAATTATTTTTAGCTAGAAGCATCTGCCGGAAGAAAAAAAACAGTGCCGTCAGCAACAAAAATCTCCAGGGGACTATGCAAAAATCGCATCTTCGCACGAGCAGCCCCGTGCGTTGGCCAATTATTGTTTGCTGTTAAGTGACAGTTGTGATGCACCTGCGTCATAGCTCTTTGAAGTACCATAATATTCAAAATGGGAGAACTGTACTCTCTCTTTGTACGTATAGGCGTTTCGATCGGTCATCGAGTTCCTGTATTCGGATGAGAACAATATTTGAGCAGTGTTTTTATCCTTCGTCTTGCTTCACCTTTCCATGTGTTTCGCTCGGTGATCGATCCCACTGTTCACCTGAGAAGACCATTCTTCTTCTTGCCTCACACGCGTGGTGTTCCACCTCTTTTGTGGTTCTATCCAAGTGGAGTGCGTGCTTGTGCAACCGTGCCGTCCTCCTGATTTGCAACTGTACTTAGCCCAGTTCATTTATTCATTTTGTTTTTTCATGCGTTTTTGCTTACATGCAAATTGCAAAACGCATATTGCAACAACGCTGTCTGTGTGTATATGTCTGCGTATATGTTTGTATGTGTGTATGTTCGTCTGTTCGGGTATTTCAACTCGGCAACAAAGCAAGCTCTGGCGGCAAAATTTTGCCAGTTAGTTTCCCAACCAAGGCCACCCCGAGCTCGCAGTACCAACCCTTACGCACGTCTGGGTCTCGCGTGCGAGCGTGTGAAAGTTTTGGCGAGAAAATTGATAAATCGGGGACAAGAAAAGTTGGAAGGCTGATACTTTGGGAAAATGTTCCCTACCTATGTATTAATACAAGATTTCAAGTTCAGCTGTTTAGGATTGCTCGGGGTTCATATACGGCCACGTAAAAACATTGGCGGAAAAACTGCAAACTCGCGAACGAGAAGAGAGAAGGCTGAAACTTTTGGCTAATGTTCAATACTCATGTACGACCAAGGGACTTCAAATTCAGCTTCTTGAAACAGCCCGAGACTCACGTACGCGTATGTGAAAATTTTGGCGGGAAAACTGCTAACTCGGGAACGAGGAAAGCTGGACAGGAATTTTTAAGGAATGTCCCCTACTCAGTGCGACTAAAAGGTTACG